CCTACATATACGTACATGTATATACACATATATTTTATTCTGAATAGTTTCAAAAGTATAGAAAAGCTTTAGGAATAGTACAAAGGACTTCACCTAGATTCTTCAATTGTTAAATTTTACTACATTTGTCCTGTTTCTCTGTATTGTTTTGTGTGTGTGTGTGTGAGACAGAGTCTTAGTCTGTGGCTCTGAGTAGAGTGCAGTGGCATCATAGTTTGCAGCATCCTTAACTCTTGGTCTCAAGTGATCCTCTTGCCTCAGCCTCTGAAGTAGTTGGGACTATAGGCACCCACCATAACACTTGGCTAGTTTTTCTATGTTTTTTGTAGAGACAGGGTTTTGGTCTTGCTCACGCTGGGCTTGAACTCCTGAGCACAAGCAATCCACCCACCTCAGCCTCTCAGAGTGCTAGAATTACAGGTGTGAGCCACTGCACTCAGCTTGCTCTTTCTTTAGAGAGACATAGGTAGACCCATTACAGCCCCCATCCCCAACAGGAGTACATTAGTACTTTCCTGTACTACCATACACTCCTTCCAGTCAGGAAATAAACACTGATAAAATACTATCATCCAATTCAAAGACACCCTTCAAAATTTTTTGTCTGTCAGGTGGCGCCTGTGGCTCAGTGAGTAGGGTGCCGGCTCCATATACCGAGGGTGGCAGGTTTGAACTCAGCCCCAGCCAAACTGCAACAACAACAACAAAAATAGCTGGGCGTTGTGCTGGGCGCCTATAATCCCAGCTACTTGGAGGCTGAGGCAAGAGAATCGCCTAAGCCCAAGAGCTGGAGGTTGCAGTGAGCTGTGACTCCACGGCACTCTACCGAGGGTGACATATTGGGACTCTGTCTCTAAAAAAAAAAAAATTGTCTGTCTTAATAATAGCTTTCTCCTTTCTAGTCTAGTATCCTACCTGCAAACACACATTGCTTTTACTTGTAATTTTTCTCATCTGTGTTCTTCAATCTGGAACAGTTTCTTAGTCTTTTCCTATATCTCTTGTATTCTCGACTGTCTAAAGCAGCGGTTCTCAACCTTCCTAATGCTGCAACCCTTTAATACAGTTCCTCATGTTGTGGTGAACATAAAATTATTTTCGTTGCTAGGAGCAACATGAGGAACTTTATTAAAGGTTTGCAGCACTAGGAAGGTTGATAATTTTATGGTTGGGGGTCACCACAACATGAGGAACTGTATTAAAGGGTCCTGACATTAGGAAGGTTGAGAACCACTGCTCTAAAGAATACAAGTTTTTTATTCTACAAGATGATCTGGGTAGATCTGGGTCTACCCACTGTTTCCTCAAGCCATGTATCCATGTATCCGCAGAACTCAAGCCATGTATCCATGGCAGGGATGCCGGAGAAATGATGCCATGCTCTGCTCCATTCACCACGTTTGGGGGTGCACTGTGTTGACCCATCCCAAGGTGATATTCACCTTGATCAGGTGGTCAAGTTAGTATCTTCCAGGTTTCTCTAATGTAAAACCACTGTTTACCCTTTTGTATTTTATTACTATTTGAGGAGAGATAATCTGACATGACACCAATATGCCGGTTCTTATTAAACCTCCAGTCATCAGCTGCAGCCTCATTCATAACTCCAGCCTGTATCAACTACCATTATCTCTGTCATTATGTCTACATTTATTATTTTGACATTGTACTGTAAGAAACAATGTGCTTCTTTTCTTTTTCATTTTCTTTCTTTCATGATGGACTCGTTGATTGTTTTTTTAGTTAGTAGGTTGTAAGCTGATACTCTTATTTTGATGCTTCGAGTTTCCTAGATATGAGCATGGGGAGTCCGTTCGTATTGGTACCTTTGTTCTTTTGAGATGTTCTTAGCATTTTCTGAGAATTTCCTTCCTTTTCTGGCACAACAGGGATTTTCCTGGCTTATTTTGTGCCTTCTTGACCTCAGCCCTAGAATCAGTCATTTCTCTAATGAGCTCTGTAGTGGACTTCTGTCTAGTGAAGGATGGTGTTTATTTTCAAGATCTTGGCACCCAATATTTCCATTGCGACAGAGATGTCACTGCTGCTAGGATCTCTTGGCAGACAGAACTAGGAAGTATATGTATGTATGTACACATGCATACAAATATCTATGACTATTAATCCATGTAAATACGTATATTTTGAAAAGTGACTTTATTTATTAATACTTCTAATTCCAATCCAACAGCTTAGGGTTCTTTTAGTCTGCCCCCTTTCCATGTTCTTAAATCCTTTCTCAGACAGTGAGAAATGTGACTCCAGTTATTTTAGATATATTTAATTATTTGTTCAGTCTATTAATATATTTGTTTAGTGTAATCAGTCTCCTAATCAATTAGGCTGGCTCTTCCATCTGCTGTTCTTTTCACCCTTTGCATTTGTTGGTGGCTGGCATGCTGCCACCTCCACTGGGCAACACCCTCTCCGCCACCATCTTATTTCCTTGGTTATCAGGCATATTGCTGCAAATGATCATGTATTACATCACCCTCCTTGCTCTGCTTCCTTGAAAGCTGACATCCCCATGCTGGGAGGGGTAGGGAAGGAAAAGAGATGAGAGGGAAAGGAATAATGGGAGGAAAGGTAGGGAGCCAGATTTGTTTTGAAGACAGCTGTCAGGATTTGCTGGTGGATGGAATATGAAAAGTGAGAAAGAGAAATAAATAATGATCCCAAGGTATTTTGGCTGGAGCAGAAATTGAGATGAGGACAAAGCATAGGAGGTTTGTTGAGGGTGATCAGGCGCTCAGTTTTGTATGTGTTAAATTTGAGATGCCTTTTAAATGTCTGAGAGATGTCAGTATTCAGTGTGTACATGCATCTTGAAGTATGGGTTACAGATGTGTATTTGGGAATCTTTGGCATCTAGACGCTACTTAAAGCTAGGAGGTCAGCTGAGATTAAAGGAAGTAAAAGAGATAAGAACGTTTAAGCTGAGTCAGGGACAGTTTAATGCTAGGAGATGAAGAAGTAGCAAAGTAGGGTCAACCATCGAGGTGGACAGAAAACCAGGCAAGTGTGGTGTTTTGGAAGTCACATGAAGAAAATGCTTGCATTAATCAACCTTGTTAAATGCTGGTGATAGGTCAAGTAAGTTGTTGAATTTAGCAACATGAAAGTCATTAGTGATATTAGTAACTGTTGTCTGAGTGTGGATAGGGGAGCTCCATTGGAGCAGTCAAGGAATTGGAGGGCCGAGATAGAGAACTCTTTCAAGGACTTTCAGCCTGTTTATAAGGGTTCATTTCATCTGTTTACATGTTTTTTGGCTCCGCAGCTGAGTTTAAGGTAGCATTTTCTGAGAGTCATGTGAATAACCTTTCATTATTATCATATAAAATTTTTTGCCATCCACTAATTTGTTTTAGGTTAGCCAAGTGAAAGACTTACAGTGTAGTTTCTACATGTGTGCAGTGAGGAAGTCATCAGAGCAGTTTCATTGGCATAATAGGGAGTACAAAGGAGGACCTAGATTTGGAAAACTCTTCATGGTGCTTGAAGGTTTTGAAAGTGTTGAGATAGAGTCTCACTCTGTTGCCCAGGCTAGACTGCCCTGGCATCAGCCCTGCTCACAGCAACCTCAAACTCCTGGGTTCAAACAATCATCCTGCCTCAGCCTCCCAAGTAGCTGGTATTACAGGTGCCCACCACATTGCCCGGCTAACTTTTCTGCTTTTAGTAGAGATGGGGTCTTTCTCTTCCTTGGGCTGATCTCTAATTCCTGAGCTCAAGTGATCCTCCTACCTTGGCCTCCCAGAGTGCTAGGATTATAGGCCCGAGCCACCACACCAGGCCTTGAAACTTTACAGATTTTTACTATAATCAGCATTCCTGGGCTTTGTCAGTACCTTGACTTTTCTTTACAAAAAGTTTTCAATCTAGCCAGGCATGGTGGCTCACCCCTGTAATCCTAGCACTCTGGGAGGCCAAGGTAGGTGGATTGCCTGAGCTCACAGGTTTGAGACCAACCTGAGCAAGTGCGAGACCACCCTTCCCCAAGCTCTTAAAAAAAAGTAGCCGGTGTTGTGGCAGGTGCCTGTAGTCCCAGCTACTAGAGAGGCTGAGACAAGAGCATCACTTAAGCCTAAGAGTTTGAGGTTGCTTTGAGCTATGATGTCCCTATATT